GAATTTTCACCTGGGTGTTTCAATTATATTTCAAAAGAAAAATTTGACCTAAAATTTGGAAGCGTGTAATCTTTTATTTCTGAGTTCTCTCATTTTGAGCAAATCATCTAATTCACCTTTTTTTTGACAGATTTTAAAATGGCAGTTACGGCATGTCCTATTGAAAAAAACAGCTTTTACTCCAGAGTAAATGAGGTCCTTGTTATTTGCTATAAATGATGCGACTTTATGTAGAAGAACGTCATCGCAGATAAACCCATCAACGCTGTATTTAAATGTGACCGAGTACGTTGTCGTCGTCGTGTGTACTGGTCACAGAAATAGTTCCATATTAAATAAGATACACTTTATTACACATCAGTAAGCAGATACAGAGCAAATCAAGAAAACAAAGCTATAGTACTAGGGAACAATGGCTCAGCAGTGCTGGTTTACCTAAGACCCTTACTCTTCAATGTCTGCTTAATTCTGTCATATCACACCACCTGCACCAGAGGTCATAGGTCATTATACTATATTTAGCAACTTATTCAGGCTAATAACAACATAGTAGAACAAGATCAAAGACAATGACATCTGCATGATGAGTGATATCCACTAGTTGAAGTGAAGGTCTAAAGCTTAGTTTAAAGGGACATTATTATGTCACACTGTTACACTCTCCCTCACTTTGAAATAAATGCGTCCCTGCATTTAGTATGATTAAAAACTAAACAAAAATGTGAAGAAAAGAAAAAAAAAAAAAAAAAAAAAATATAGAAAATTCACAAACAATAGTAGAAAGCAACCATTGCAGAGTTTTGTTTAAGTTCCAAACATTTGCGAATTAATCACTTTGTTGTTGCAATAGCGTACCCAATTCTCTAATAGTTGTAGCAACTAAGGAGTTACTTAATTTAATCATAGCTTCTGAGAAATCTACTGAAATGTTACTGTTAATAGCACTTGTAGGTAATTTATGAATGTTACGATGAGTTCCACGAGTAGAACGAGTTGATCTTCGTACAGTAGTATCTATTTGTGGGTTAGGAGGAGGTTCGTCTATAATCATAGGATATTCGTCTTCGGTGGTTTCATTATCAGGATCCACTATGTTAACACCTGGATTAAGATTGTTACTGTTCACTGGTTTACTTACATCATCATCACTTTCATTGGAGTCAAGTATTGGATTAGTGGTATTGTTATTATCGTTAACTGTGTTGTCTTCAACAGGATCAGGATGTTCTTGTTGCTCTCGTTCAATCGGAACATGTTCAGGACATAATTTAAGTTCGGATCTATGAAGAGTTTTACTTATTGTATGATCATTAACTGGGCTGACAATATACACATGGTTATCATCTTCAACCCTCTCCATAACAGAATAAACAACAGGGAACCAATGATCCTGAATCTTGTTTCTTCCTAGAATACCCCTTAATTTGCAATAAACCAGCTGTCCAACTTCCAAAGGAGCATCGTGAGCATTCTCATCAATGTCATTCCTTTTATCAGCTGCTGCTAACAATGACTCGTAAGCTTTCTCATATGCAAATTGGAGACTTTTTTGATGTTCTACCACCCATGAATAACTATATTGATCATTTGAAGTTTTACCCAATAAAATGTCTATTGGCAGTACAGGATTCCGTCCAAATAGTAGAAAATATGGAGTATAACCAGTTGACGCATGAATAGTGGTATTATACGACAACATTAACTCTGGTAGATGTTCTGGCCATCGTCGTTTTAATCCTGGCGATAATGTTCGTAAGAGATTATGTAAGGTTCTATTAAACCTTTCAGTTTGTCCATTACCCTGTGGGTGATAAGGGGTGGTGCGACTTTTCTTAATACTATAAATAGCGCAAAGATGTTTAATTATTTCCGATTCAAAATTTCGACCTTGGTCGGAGTGCAGACGTTTTGGTACACCATACTTGACAAACCATTCCTTAACAAGCACTTTTGCAGTTGTACTGGCTTTCTGATCTTTAGTAGCAATTGCCATGGCAAATTTCGAAAATACATCCGTGATGACTAACACATTTTCCATTCCATTAGATGCCTTATCTAACAACGTGTAATCAATGGCAACTACTTCTAACGGTTTCGAAGCTAACAAATTTTTCATGGTGATATGTACTTTGGTATTTGGTTTGGAAACAGCACATCTAACACAATTTTTGCACTTCTTTTGAATGTCTTTCCACATTCCAGAACAATAACATCTAGATCTTATAGAATTAAAAGTTCTCTCAATCCCTTGATGACCGGAATTATCATGCAAACTCTGTAAAACAGTGTCTTTAAGTTCATCAGGTAATAAAAACTGTTCAATCTCTCCAGTATATGGATCAACAATTTTTCTAAAAAGTAGAGCATTCTTTAAATAGAGTCTTTTCGATTGTCTGAAAAGTGTCAGAACAGGTTTTGATAGTGTTTTACGTTGACTTTTTGATGGAGATTTACTTTTATCCCAAAACGATCGGAATGTTTTGATAGTGCTATCATTATTTTGTAAATACTGTAAATTTTCTTTAGAATATGACGGAAGTATTTCTAAACTTTCACTGTAGATAGGTGTCGGAAATATTATCTCTTGTTGTAAAACATCTGTATGAAAGTTGATTTTGTTACTTGTTCTATTTTGGGTTTAATATTTACAGATAAATGATTAGTTTCGACGTCTCTGGGTTTCTTTGATAGTGCATCGGCGTTACTGTTGGTCTTTCCAATTTTATACTTCATTTCAAAATCGAAGACAGCCAAATCAGACATCCATCTTTGTTCTACAGCACTCAACTTAGCTGACATTAGGTGACACAGAGGGTTATTATCAGAAAATACTACAAATTTACGACCTAACAAATAATCCCTGAATTTTTCGCATAGAGCCCACTTGAGTCCTAACATTTCAAGTTTCCTGGAACTATAATTCTCCATGTTCTTTTCAGATCCACGTAACGCTCTACTTGCGTACGAAATAACTCTAAGTTGACCGTTTTGAATTTGTGAATGTACGGCTCCTAGTCCTTCATGACTAGCATCAATTTCAACTTGAAAAGGTTCAGAAAAATCAGCAAATCCTAAAATAGGTGCACTCGTCAAAGTCTGTTTAAGTGTTTCAAAAGCATTATCACAATTTTCATTCCACAAAGAAAATAAATTTGATTTCTTAGCCTGATCTGTTTCTTTTAAAACTGAATGCAATGGGGCAGTTATTTTGGCAAAATCCTTTACATATCTCCTGTAGAATCCACAGAATCCTAAAAATGTTCTCATCTCTCTACAGGTTTTTGGTTTAGGCCAATCAGTGACTGATTTGATTTTGTCTGGGTCGGTACTAACTCCACTTGAAGATACAACATGACCCAAGTATTTGACTTCAGATCGGAATAAAAAACATTTGGATGGTTTCAACTTCAGTCCATGCTGTCTTAGAATGCTGAACATGTGATCCAGACGTTCTAAATGTTTTGAAAAACTTTTTGCAAAAACTATTAAATCATCCAGGTAAATAAGAAGAATTTTCAGTACATCGTCTCTAAAGCAACCTTGCATGAGACGCTGAAATGTCGCAGGTCCATTACAAACTCCAAATGGCATTCGCCGGAACTCAAACAGTCCAAAGGGTGTGGTAAATGCAGTTTTTGCTTCGTCCTTTTTATCCATAGCAATTTGTGTATATCCAGAGGCCAGATCTAATGAGGAAAACCAACAACTTCCATACATGGCATCTAAACTTTCCTCAATCCTCGGTAAAGGAAATGAGTCTTTAACGGTTTTGGCATTCAAATGTCTGTAATCAACACACATACGGATATCACCAGTGTTCTTCTTTCGGACTATAACAATAGGCGAAGAATATGGACTAAAACTGGGAACAACGACATTGGTGTCAACTAACTTTTGAATGTGATTCTTTATTTCTTCTAATTGTGCTGGAGGTATCCTTCGGTAGGGTAATTTTATAGGGATATTATCTGTAAGATGAATTTGGTGAGTGATCGTCGATGTAAAGCCAACATCAAAATCTCCTGTGCTAAAGACATCTTTATGATTTCTTAACAAATTTTCAACATCTTGTCGCTGATCTGAATTTAAAGTATCTGGAATGGGTATTGGTGGTAAATCTGGTTTCTCTTCAGCGGGTGGTTTAAGGTCATGTCCAATTTTCTCTACTAAAATGTGATCAGCGTTAACTGAAATCTGGACATTGTTTAATTCTACTTCAGCTTCAACTAACAATCCTAAGCGAGTACGAGGATTTAACCATATGTCTTTCTCAGAGAAATTAGCAACTTGTACTTGGTAAAGATTTCTATTTGGTTTTACCACAGTATTACAAACTATGATGTTGTTTGGTAGGTGAGTTCGGTTGGTCAGTTCTTCAATAACTAGCGTAGCGTGTACTTTAGGCGTTATACCAGAAACTTGAACATTAGTAACACTCTTTGATGGTAAAAGTACTGGATAAGATGCAGCGACCTTAACAAATCCATGCACAGCTCTTTTGTTGTCTTTATTAAAATTAGCCTTTAACTGTTCTACAAAATTGGTTTGCCCTTCGTGAATATCCAAGTTCTTCATTTCGGACCATATATGGCGAATGACATTCATTCCCAATAACCCTGGTACCATTTCTTTGCGTTTTGCTGCATGAGGATCACTTGGGTCCTTGACTACAAGAAAACATTGATTTGGTAATCGCTTCCCGAAAATTCTCAAATCAGCTTGAACTATTCCACTATAAGGTATATCCAGTCCATTTGCAGCTCTAACAGTAAGGTAATTGGTCTCTTCGAAATTAGTGGAGCATTTTAAATGTTTGTCATAAAATGACTGAATAATGGTTGATACCTGGGATCCAGTATCAAGTAGAAATCGACATGACGATGAATGAATTTGACCACTCACAGTAGGACATTCCCCAACAGCGAGGTCAAAGGTTTCACTATTATTTGAGCCTACAGTTTTCGTATCACCCCCTCCTCGACTCACAGTTGAAGGTGGGTTTAGTTTTCCTGTTTCCGTTTTAAATCTGGACAATTTCTTCTAATATGACCAGTCCTGTTGCATTCAAAACATTTGCCAGTACTACGTCGAGTCAGTAAATTTTGTAATTTGTCAATTTGCCCCTGTTGGGTTTGTATTAATTTCCTTAACTCATCCATTTGAGTATTCGTGGTAACAACTTCTTCTGATGTTGCACTGGTATTAACTTTTTCCTTTGGTTTACTCTCTTCTTCAGTCCAATCTAATGCAAACTTTCTGATATCGATGAAAGATAATGAGGGATTGTCACGTATTTGGCGCTTCAATTCTTTTCTAAGATGTGCATCGTACAAACCATCTGCAAAATGATCTCTAATGGTAATTTCAAATTCAATTTTGTTAGGTTCTTTCCTTTGAATGCGTTCCATAAGTTGTCTTAAAGCATAAGAAAATTCTCTGATACTTTCATCCTTCTTTTGGGTTCGTTCATAGAAAAGTTTGAGTAGATGAGAAGTAGAATGGGTTTCAGAAAATGTACTTCGTATAGCATCGTAAATCAAGCTGGCATTCCCCTTCGCTTTTCTTAACTTTACTTCTTCTTTCGCATCACCTTCTAGATGAGAATATATAAACCTTGCTTCATCTTCGCCGGTAAGATTAAGAGTTGACACATATTCCTGGATATCTTCAATCCACTCGTGTACAGTTAAATCGCCCGAAGTTTTCAGTATCCCTTTAAACTTCTTTGGTTCTCGGGTTCTATCAATGTAAACGACTGACTTAGTTGCTGATGATGATGTAGTGTTTGATGTTGATGGCAATGAAAACGGAGAATTAAAACGTAAACTCTCAGAAGGTCTTACAGGAGTTGATGTTAATCTAGATGCTAGTCTAGATGTAGCCAATTCGCTCTTTAGACGATCGATTTCGTCCTTATAATCTTGTTCAGTTTTTGTAGACTCTGCCATGGTTACTAACAATTTACAACAATACCTTCGATGTGACAAATACAAAATCAAACATATGCAAATCAGTTACAAGAAAATTACAATCAATAAAACAAAAGCAATGTGTAGAGCTTCTCCATAATAAATACAAATCAAAATAAAACCATATCTGTGACTGTCAAAAACAATTTATCTCAATAGAGCACTCTCCACTGAAATAGGTCAATCTGTCTTCCCAAAACAGCACCGTAAAATATCAATCATTAAATGATGCAACCAACATTTAGCTAGTAAACTAATTGGATGAACACCGTCTGACAGTAAATTTACACTAACTGTATTTCTAGGCTTCTTATCTTTTCCTTTTCGAAAACGAATAACGTCGTTGGAAAATCCTAAAGTATTTTCATTAACTATTAAATTTAAAAGTTTAATTTCTTTATTGATCTGATTAATATGTCTGTTAACTACTTTATCTTGCACTTTATATTCGTCTGAATTGTAGCCCGATTTGGTACAGTTATAATATGACACAGAAATAGGTGGAATTTCTATAAATTTAATACGACAGTTTTCAAAATTCTTCGAAATATTTATGGCTCTACTGTATTGTCCTACAATGTATGAAACAATTTCGGAATGTCCGGGTTGCGCAGCAATCAAATAACCTGATTTGGTTGTTACGTCACACGTGCCTAACCAAATGTAAATTACAACTTGTGAATATTCTTCAATCCACTCAGGAAGTTTTTGTTCAAGATAGTCTATTCCCGATTTTGTTTTACCTCCGCTTTCACACTCAAATTTTACATTAATTAAACTGTCTCTTTTAAAATGTGTTTTAAATATCTGCCTTTACTGTCACTCAATAAAATCGGAACACAGATTTGGTTTTCACTAGCTCTGATTGGTAAGGGTTTTTCTAAAAACTTGTTTAATTTTGATAAACTCATAGCTGCCAGAAATTGTCATAATTTTAAAGTTGAAAATAGTTCCAAAATCAATTAAATGACACAAAAATACTAGAACGTTCTCACCGTTTTTTCTTCTTTCAATGAATGTTGAATGTCCTGTCTTTAATGTTGAATCACACAGAAAAATGTTCCAAATCAATATCCAAAATCCAGTAGCTTTAAACACAAAATTCTATCCGAAAATCCTGTAAGTCATCCTATCGGCGACGCCAATTGTGACCGAGTACGTTGTCGTCGTCGTGTGTACTGGTCACAGAAATAGTTCCATATTAAATAAGATACACTTTATTACACAATCAGTAAGCAGATACAGAGCAAATCAAGAAAACAAAGCTATAGTACTAGGCAACAATGGCTCAGCAGTGCTGGTTTACCTAAGACCCTTACTCTTCAATGTCTGCTTAATTCTGTCATATCACACCACCTGCACCAGAGGTCATAGGTCATTATACTATATTTAGCAACTTATTCAGGCTAATAACAACATAGTAGAACAAGATCAAAGACAATGACATCTGCATGATGAGTGATATTCACTAGTTAAAGTGAAGGTCTAAAGCTTAGTTTAAAGGGACATTATTATGTCACACTGTTACATAAATTTTACCTTCTCGTTTTTTTGAAGTTTCATTTTATAATGCCGTAGATTTAACAAAAAATTCTGAAGTTGTAAGAAAAGGTTGTTATAAAAAGTCAACAAGGAAATAATAATATTCCGTTATATAAATACATTCTCCTCTCCTATAAAACAGTTCTATTGAAGTATATTTGTAAATAAAAATTCGTAAGTAAACTAATAAAACGAGTCTTCATATCGGAAGTTCTACATTCAAGGAAGCCATTTTGACACATTATAAAGGGATTATTAGTCTTGTGTTTTTTTTTTCGATAATTACAAGACTTTTCCTGTATCTCCAAGCTCGGTAAATCTGTTGTTGATTATGTGTGTGTACCCCACGAAAACGTAGATACCATCAAATCCTTTACCGTCCATAGCATGTCTGAACTAAAAAGAACTATTGGGTGTTACTCAGATTCTACTCCAGACCATTCTATTTTAATCCGGGAAACAGAAAAAGGTAGTGACGTGACAAGTGTTCAGCCACAAAACAAATCCGAAACTGTAAGCAAGTTTGACTTAACAACAATTCTTAATTACTTTTCAACAAATTCTGAAATTTTGGAACTAGTTAAAGAGACAATAACCTCTATAGAACGTAAAATGAATTAGAAGGTGACATACATAGGCATATAATGACTTTCTTACCCTAGCAGCATGTGAAATGAAAGCTCGGATTCGCAGTAAAACGGTCCCAAAAGTACGACGAACATTGCAAAAATCGAAATCAAAGTTCAAACCCTACTGGAATGAAGGTCTCCAAAAGCAATGAGATAATGTGCAACAATGCGAGAAAAAGTGGCTAAGAGAGGACTCAGATTGTGCCAAACGAGAAGTAAAAGCTACCTATCTTCAGAATAGGAAACGTTTTGACATGATGATAAAGACGAATTTTGGAAAATGTTAGGAAAAATCGGTATCGCGAATGATCGAGTCATAGGTCTACCAAACTCTGTAAAATACGCTGATGGGGTAATTAAACAGGACAAGGCACAGGTACTAGATATTTGGAGAAGTGAATTCGAAGCGCTATATTCGAACAATACAGACCCAAACCCAGAGCCCTCAGATGGCGAATCTACGGATAGCATCCCTGAATTGAATAACCCGATCACAATAGATGAAGTATCACGGGCTGTGAATGGCCTGAAAATAACCCTCCTCTGGATGTGACCACATCCCATCAGGTGTTTTAAAAAACGAATCTAATTCACAATATCTGTGAGCTGGGAACCGTTCCTGCTGAATGGACTAAAAGCCTAATACACCCAATATTCAAACCCGGAAGCGATGATAAACTTGTTCCATCTAATTATAGAGGTATTTCCCTTATTTCCGTGACAAGTAAAATATACTGTCATATCTTGAATAGCAGGGTAAATAAATGGCTTGGTCAAAATAACTCTCTGTCTGACTTTCAAAACAGTTTTCGAAAAAATCTGTTCAGAGCTGTTCAGACCATATATTTTCGCTATATAACATTATAAATGATATGAAAACCACTCGATAGTCTACCTTTATATGCTATATTGACTTCAAAAATTGTTTTGACTCTATAAAACGACCCCTTCTTTGGAGAAAATTTAAAAAAATAGGGCTGTGTGGTAAAATTTTAACTGCTATTAAATCACTTTATCATGTGAGTGCTATTCAAGTAAACATTGATCAATCATATTGGTTTCAAGTAAATGTTGGCGTAAAACAAGGATGTCTATTATCTCCAACACTGTTTTCCATATTTATCAACGACCTTTTAGAAGAAATTGACAATTTGAAATTTGGCATTAATATCGAAGACAAACTGTAGATTTCTGTCCTGGCATATGCTGACGACGTAGCCTTACTATCACCAGCTCCAGATGAAGCCAGCCTGAACAAAATGTTAAGCGTAATCGATACATGGTGCAAAAAATGGAAATTGTCAATTTACCCCTGCAAATCTAAAATAGTACATTATAGAAGCCCTTCAGTTCCCCTATCACTTCATGAGTTTACCTGTGGTGGTTTAAATATTAGTTACGTTGATTCTTACAGATATTTAGGTCTATGGATTGATGAGCACCTTAATATGAAGAAAGCAACTTCAGAACTTGCCAAGTCTGCTAGTCGAGCTTTGGGCACATTATGCACAAAATATAAGTTATGCGGAGGAATGTCTTACAAACTTTTTACAAATTTATATAATAACCTTGTTGAGCCAATTCTTTTTTATTGTGTAGGGATATGGGGTTATAAAACTTTTTCATGTATTAATACTGTTCAAAACAAAGAAATGAAGTTTTTTCTGGGTGTGAGCAAATGTACCCAAATATTGCATGTAGAAGGCTGGATTTCGTGTGTCGCCAATCAGAAAACAGAATGTATTAGACTACTTTGCAAGCTGTATCGAATTGACCCACAAAGACCAGCTTTTCTCTACTTAGGTATATGTCGACTAAAAATAATAAATTGTCATACTGTTTTAAATATTGTACATGTTTTAGGATTAAAAGAAATTGTTTTTAACCTATCGATGTCCATCAAAAAAAAAATTGTAAATATAACGAAAGCTAAATTAATTAAGGTAGATTCAGATGAATGGATTAAAGAATTATTTAATGATAAATGCAATCCTAATGGCAATAAACTTCGAACCTATCGCCAGTATATATCAAACCGTATGTTAGAATCCTTTTCAAATGAAAATATCTCCAGGGCAACCAGAAGGTTAATAAGTCAATTGAGAAGTGGTTGTCTCCCTTTGGCAATCGAAACGGGTCGTTACGCTAAACCGAAAATATCGCTTGAATATCGAACATGCAAATGTTGTAATGAAGATGTCATTGAGGATGAATTTCATTCAGTTATATGAGTCATAATTATTCACCTTTAATTGCTCACTTTGTTTATTTGAATCATTACATTTATTCATTTAAAAGTTCATTTTCCATAAAACTCATATTTTAAGTTTTCATTTAATAAATTATACTCACACCACATATTGTTTAATTCATTATAAAGGGGGAGAGATTATTTACTTGTGGATAGAGTCAGTACATGTTTATCAGACATAAATAGTTGGTTTTCAAACAGGTACTAAAAACCAAATTATACTTGGAAATTGAATAATGTTCAAATTGAAGTAGTGAACGAATATGTTTATTTAGGGGTTTTATTAGAAAGTAACGGTGAATCCAAGAATGCACAAAAAAGAATGTCCGAAAAGGGTCTAAATGTATCATTTATTTGACTCTCTTGTAGCACCGATATTAAACTATGGGTGTGAAATATGGGGGTTCTGTGATACACCAATAATTGAAAACGTGCAAAAATAAATCATTAGATAAATCCTAAATCTCTCAAACTTACCAATTTACTTTTTATTGGTGGAGCTCGGGCGATTCCCATTATGGGTTATTCAAACCGAAAGCATATTGAAATTTTTGATAAAATAGTTTAAAGGAAAGAAGGTATTTTATATGATTTATACCAACATCTGAAACATGGTTCTGTTAAAGGTTTAAAAAAAGGTTTCTAACGTTCAAAGTTGTTTACAAAACTCAGGTCTATCTTATATATCGAAAGGCCAATATAATCTAGAATCGTTTAACAACAATACAGAAAAGAATACGTGATCAATATAGTCAAAACTGGTATTCAAAAATTAATGTCTTAATAAAACTGAAATCAGACATTTCTTATTACGAAGGTTATGAACGTGCTGCATATTGAAATGTTAATACAAATAGGAAATATTATTAGTAAATTTAGATTGGGAACCATGAAACTAAAAATTGAAGTTGGTCGATATCTAAAAATCTAAAGAGATGATAGAATCTGCGACTGTTGTCACGCCAATATGATACTTAATGAATTTCATTTTTTTCTATGCTGTCCAGCTTATAGAGTTATAGGAATAAAGTACCTCCCAAGATATTGTTGGAGTTGGCCTTCAATTTATCAATTTAAAAGTATTATGGAAAACAAATCTGAAACTATTATTATAAATCTGTCAAGATATATTTACAAAAACGAAAACAATATCTTGAAAAGTTATAGTCAACTATCAACTATTCTTGTATATAATTTGTATATAATATGTATCTATATAATTTAGTATTCGTTGAATCTGTTCCTCATAATATGCTGTACAGTTCTACATATTCTACTAATTTGTTTGTTAATTCATTGTTATTTAACTTATGCTATAGCAATATGCATTGTATTGTACATGTAAATGCTGATTACAATAAATAAAATCAAATCAAACCAATGAATGATGGCGCTTTTCTGCACCACATTACGTCACCCCCAACCCAGCCTCGGACCTTGGAGTAATGACTGACTGGAGAAACATCGCCTACAGAAAACTATAGCGTGCGTCGACAATCAGTGCCGCTTGACTCTACTTAGCAACCTGCTCGATCAATTCCATATCAGTAGCGTCCACGATTGTAGCCTGGGTGCTACAATTTAAACAACACACATGCACAGTTGAAACCAAAATGGCAGCTTCCAAGATTTTGACGATGAGTTGTTGGATTCGAACAATTCTATGATATTTTAGGATGTATGTGCACTCAAACATCAATTAATGTTAGTGGCTGAGATCACCTGAATAAAATAATTCGACAGATGAAAGTTCAATGAAAACGAAATATTTTCAATGAACAGTGCGGACCTTGGCAGACCGTTAGTCAACTCTTAGCTTTTTATACTAAAATTAGCAAAAGTATTAATGCTAATCCTCATAGCGTGTTTAAAACCAATCGAGCATATGGACAGACGTCAATAAATATGGACAATAAAGGATTGCTAAGTAGAAAGTAACCATTATTATTCATACTACGCAATACTTTTTTCTTTCAATATTATATTTATTGATCAGGTAAATCAATATACCTTTTAAAACACATTACCTGTTATTTATTGAACTGAACACCATAGTTATCATTACCAAGTCTCTAGAATAATTAATCTTTGCTCCGTGTAGAAAGTATCAAATGGAAAATTATCTTTTCTCGCGCGAAATAAAAGGAATAAGGAATAAGATTGGGTAAAAATGATAACACTTTTTATTTCCATGAAAAAACTATCAAAGCTATGATCATATTATTTAAACCTCATACTGTTATTGATATTAGATATCTTTTCAGCAAATTACAGCTTTAAAGATAGAACCAATTTTTAAAATTCCTTATAAAATAATATAATGCCGAAAGTGAATACGTTAAACAAATGCCCCATGAACACGACATTTCAGCAAAAAAAAAAAAAAACCCCAAAAAACAACAAAAAAATAACAAAAAGCTCATACAAAAGATTATTGACCACCCCAAAGTCTTGTTTACAATTAGATAGTTTACAGTGTGTTTTGTCTAGCTGACAGAAGTAACAATGGAGATAAGCTGGAGGACAGAATTAGAGAGAATTGCAACAAAATACCACTTTAACAAACCGGAAAGGCAATATTTTTTGCTGAAAATGTTGGCTATACTGAACATTAATTCAATAAATAATGTGAAGTTATAGTAGTAATTTTCGGTATTAATTTTTTTTTATACAAAAGCTTTAATTTGGTGAAAATATCCCTAATATCCCCAGAATTATGAGGTCAAAATATTATGATCATAGCTTTGGCACTTTGTGAAAAATTCTGAATTGAAAAATGTTTTTTCTGAGCCACAAAAGAGTTTAACAATTGAATTTATCAATGGACTACTGTAGGTAGGTAGGTAGATGACAAGTTAACCTTCGCTTCCAGCGGATGCTGATATCGCAAACTAGGTAGTTGTTGGTAGTCGTAGTAGTTGGTAGTTGGATTGGATCAAATTGGATGATTCGGTGTTGTTGGTTTGGTTGTTGATTCTTCGTTAGATCTGGTCGGGTCGAATGACATGGCGGTGAAACTCGGCCCTGGATGGTGTGGCATGAGTTACTCGGTCTCCTTCATTCTTCCAAACTCGTTCTGATCATGGTATTTCTTGTTGATTGGTAGTCGAATTGTAGTCGTTGGTTTGGTTTGGTTTGGTTTGGTTAGATTATCTGTTATCTGTTGGAAAACTCGAAGACCTGAAAAAAAAAAAAAAAAGAAAGTGAGAAAAAGAGGGAGGAAAGGGGGGGGGGGGGGAAGCTTTCACAAAAGGGGGGAGAGATGTTCTCTAATGTTTCTGCAATGAAACTTGTTAAATTGATTGGATATAATTAAAAAGTGTTAAGAAACTTTGAGAAAACTGTTTTTATACGCCCAAAGCGACTGCAGTTTTGAACAATTTTGATGAACTTTTCAAGATATTTCGATGAATGATTTTTTATTATGCCCCTGGCCTACGTACTCGTTACTACACGTACACCAATCGTAAGACGAACCGAGCGGAATTGTAAACGATACTAGCAATGATAATAATGATATAAAGGAAATCGTAAAAAATTGGTACAAATCTTAAAAAAAAATTTTTGCGAGACATTTACAGATTCTTATGAAAAGTTATTATTATTACGTTTGTCG